ATTATAACGATGGGTCTTTCAAATGAAATTGACTAAATGTTACCACATATATATATATATTGAAATGGCACTTGTAAATCACTCACAATTGTTTGGTTGCTATTTCTTTTCCCCTCTTTGTTTCCAGTGTTCAGATCCCTATGTTCGGGACGGTGTGGAGTTTGTAACTCTTCATGTCAAAGGGCAGAGCTTCATGCTACATCAGATTCGCAAAATGATAGGTGAGAGAAGGAGTGTGTAGGTCTGGAGGAGAAGGAGGGTTGAAAAAAGAGGACAGAGAGAGAGAGGAGAGAGAGCAAAATGTGAAGTGTGCTGACAAAATGAATTTCTTCTCTGATTTTAGCCCTATCGAAATAGACAGGTCAAATTGATAGGTGGAGTTTGAACATTTTATAAGTATGAAATAACAAAAGACATGTCATCAACTGAAAATCTAAAAATTTGAACCCAGTGTCGATTTTTGGGTGATGTATTTATTTGTGGATTGGGAGAAGTAACTCATTTTGTCGGCAGGCCTCACAAATGGTCTTTACAGTATAAACATTAGGCTTAATTAATGCTGTAAATAAGTGGGATGAATTTCTTCTTGTAAGGTCAGTGAGATTCTCATTGTCGACTTATGTACTGTTTGTCCAGTGTGCAAACTTATCTCTTGTTCTCATCTGTATGTGAGCTATTTGTAAGTACATTGTAGGATGTATTTTGACAATGTTATTGTTATTTTCTAACCACTATAGTAGTTGTTTTTTTTTGGGGGGGGGGGGGTTTAACAGAGCTGCATGATTTATAATGACCTTAAGCTTCCCTAGTGTGTGTGTGCTGTATTCTCTGTTGTAAATGTTACTGGACTTCCATAAACATTTTGTTGTTGGCATTTTGTAAAAATAAATAAATAAATAAACCACATAACAGTAGAATTTTCAAAAAGAGAAACATGCAGGCGAATTGTGTGAATAGCTTCTTTTTTTTCTTTTTTTTTTTGCAATGTGTATGTGCTAGACCCCTATAAATTTTAAGACAGTCTTGTTGGGTTTTTGTAAACATTGTATGGATTTTTTTGTGTGTGTGTGTGCAAATTCTTTTTTGGTTCTTTCATAGTGTGGGTGGTTGGCGGGTGCTCTGGTGTGAATTGCTCCTTGTTATCAAATATCTATCATCCTTTATCTCTCCTTCTTTTTTTGTCTTTGTTACTCTTTTGTAACACCTCTAATCTGGGACACTTATGTGACCTAATTGCAGGGATAAAACTGATCAGTCCAAAAATAACTGAATTTTTCGCAGGCTGTACTGATTTGGAAAAACATGCTTATTCAATTGTAGATTAGTACACATAGTAGAATGACTCGCCATTGAAAGTAGATAGACAGGCATCAGGGAAGGGAGGGTGATGTGTTTGATTCTCACTTAAGGAAAATGACGGAGCAAAACAAAATTGAGGATTTACGTAAATTTAAGGAAAATTTCCATCCCTGTAATTGCGTTGCAAGTGCCATAAAATGCTTACTACAACTAAAACAAAATAGTTCTTTCCTAGTCCGCTCAGCTTGATGTTGATTTTTTTCCCTCAGGTATCACTATTGCCATAGTGCGTGGCTACTGTGGAGAAAATGTGATAGACAAGTGCTGGGGGCCAGTGCAGGTGGGCAGATTGGAGATTTTATGGTCATGGTCATATATATATGACTCATCGTTTTCCTGTTGGGGGGGGG